CCCCTTCCTCTTCCATCTTCCAAATTACATCCCAGCAGAGCAAGATTACACAGCACTGGGCGCGGATCAAAGTCCTGCTCTGCAAACCCCAGAAGTCCATTAATTCAAGAGAAAAAAAAAAAAGAAAAAACAACACAAACCACAACTGGTGCTGTATTAGGGTGTAAATGACTAATTAACCTGTCTGTGCGCTGATGTAATTTGTCCTCTCCGGAGGGTTTCTTTCTGCAGTAATCACCTCTCGGGGAAGGCATGGGGTCGCTGAGTTGGCGAATATGTTCCTGACATTCAGCTGGTTCCTCCAGCCTGGGAGTTCAAGCTTGCAAGCGGTAAATAATTTTCCGAGCCAGTTTTTCTGCTGCAAATAATATGGGGTTGGGGAGATATTAACACATCTCGGCTGCAGACTAGCAATTTTAGGAGCCGCGGCAGTGAATGAAGGTTTGCAGATTTGACGTTTCTTCTTCCAGCTCCTGCCGGCAAATTGATGGATCTTAAAACACCTAATATAATTTGATAAGCCATTTGCAAATGAAAAAAAGGGGAATGTAAAGATGATCCCAGTTTGATTGCCCAGCCCAGCGTGCTGGTCCAGCAGCGTTGGTGCCGATGGAGGTTGGAGACGGGGGGGTGTCTTTTAATGAGCAAAAGCAGCATGTTGGTCGAAGAGGTTAGTCCCATCATATTTCATTTTTAATAGCTGCTTTAGAGCAGGGGATGCTTTGCAGAAAAAGGAAAATTGCCTTGTATTAAATAGCCCAAGCGCTGCACGGTCTGTTTTCACCCTGAGTTCATGGCAGGGCTCTCGCCCTTCTCATCGGGATTTGTTCAGTCAGTGGTGGTTTTGGCTTCACTCACTTAAAGCTTTGAGATCAGAGATGACTTTTTCCACCCCGATTCTGCAAGTAATCCGGGATCTACACCTTCAGCTGTGTTCCTGGTTGTCCATCATCACGGAAACTCATTCCTCTGTCTGAAGTTGGCTAACGGTGTGGGCGTAGGGGTGGTGCTCGGAAATGAATCCAGGTCCCAAGGAGAGAGAAAATGTCAACAGTTTATCTAACGATGCTCCGCCCCATGTGCCACAGACATCGCAACTTAGTGATGTCCAGAGTTTGTTTTTTTCCCCCCCGCTAAGTGTGGCTGCAAATTAGCTTGGACTCACCACAGGCACTGCTGGGCTCTCACTTTTTGTGGAAGATTGGAAAAAACCAGGATTTTCTGACTGTCTTTCAAGCGAGTTAATTCACAAGGAGAGGTTGAAGCCAGAAAGGGATATGTGAGGTGCTCTGGCACTGATACGCCCAAAACCGAAGGACGTGGCAAATTTTATAGTGCCAAAGAGAGCCGTTTGGCCCCCACTTCTGCAGGATGCTGAGAAGCAGCATCATGGCTTTTCCTGAGCAGACTTCACCAGCTGCCAGCCTTGACTCCTGAATTTCCTGCTATTGTTGCAGCGTTCAGAATAACACTCGCTATAGGATTAACTTTTTATTTTTTCATAGCCATTGTGCCCAGGCTGAAATAGGTCCCGGTGAAAGAGCGAGTGGTCTAACTTCAAGCAAAAGCTTTGGTTTTTTGTTCTTGCGCAAACCCATGGCAGGTCCTGCAAAAAAGCCATTGGGAGAATCAAACCCACCTCTCCACTTGTTCTCTCAACGACTCTCTTACAGCTCTGCTGAGTCTTTCCAAGGCGGTTTCGTATCCTCCGGCGAGGACGTTCTGGAAATTGCTCGCAGAAAGCACAAGCGGAGATGATTTAGGGGAGCAATCTGCAGGCTGATGCTCCTCTGAGCCTTCAGACTCCGTATCCAACCGCTCTGATAGATGGCTTAATACAGTTTGGGAACATGAGGCACATTCAATTCTGCCTTCCTGGTTTTTGATGAAAATCACAACTGCAGTCATGTTTGATTTCACAGATATGTCCTGGCTGTGAATATAACCCACTCCACTGAGCCTACCTGCCTCTGCTGCTCTGAATTCAGGTACTTGCCTTCCTTGTTCTCACACAGCTTTTTGCTACTTGCCAGGACAAATTCTTCCCTTTTGGGTTCCTGGAACAAGTTCCTGCATTTTCTGCCTTTTAAGTTACTATTGTCAGGTCTCAGAAACAGGAAAACAAGCAGTTTTCCAGCTCCTGGAGATGTTGGTGTGTGCTGCTTGCCTGGAGGGGCAGAGGATGGGCTTTGCTGCCTTCGCCTTCCCCATTTCCCACCTCGCGGGGAATTTGGGGCCAAGAAACGTAGCAGGTAGCTCCGTGCAGGACGTGTTTTGCACACTGAGGCTGCAGCTTCTTTTGGGTCCTCCTTCATGGGTGAGCCAAGCCTACACACACAGGTTTTGCAGCCCAGCCGTGAGAAAACCAAAGCTTTGATAAGGGTTTGCAGATGCAAAGAGAAAACTGGAAGTGCCAATTCCTCCTTAAAAAATTCAGCCCCAGGTTCCCAGACCTGCCTTTGCTCCCCATTTTACCCTGGCAGATTTGCTTTTCTGGTTATTCCAGGGTGTGGACCGAAGGCTAAAAAACAAACTATTTAAAAAAAAAATAAATAAAACAATCATCTCTCTAATTCATCCCGACCTGAAAGGGGCTTTGCCGGCTCATCCCCAACATCCTCGAAACGCAGATGCTCCTGCGACAGAGCCAGCAACACCATCGGGTAGGAACAGAGCCACACTGGTGACATTCCTCTTTTTATTCATTTTTGCTGTAATTCTCCTCACATCTCTGATACGAGAGCTTGGCAATGACCGATTTATTTTAGGGAGAGGGTCTTGTAACCACTCCAGAGCGAAACAAACCCCGAGCCTGTTTTTAATGACTGAGGGAGCATCATCCATCTCGAGCTCCGTTTCCCAAGCTGTCAGCGCAGGAGTTGTGGCAGCGCTATAATTTCTCGCAGGGAAATATCCGTGCCAGTTTGTGCAGCACTTAGACAGCAGCTCAAAATGTGCTGGCATACAGCAATGCAAATCCCCCCCC